GCAGAAGGGGCAAATTGACGGGGATTATCGCGGGACAAAGTCGAGCCACCCACGTGGTCGCAGCCAAGTGCGCTTAAACGGCCACGTGGATAATGGGACGAGACGGGGCTCGCATCGCGTGGCGATCATTGATAATGCGCACGCGATGATTGTTCGCGACGCGATCATCTCCACCTACGTCGCGCCGTCCCTTAAATTGCGACGGAGATTCTCGACAGACCAGGTGTACGTATTAACATTAAGGGTACCCTCTAGGGGTACCATAAATTTCGCGAGACTTCGCAAAGGGCGAGGGTCTTCTATACGATCTCATTCAAGGAGATTCATTAAAATTAAGAGATTTATTAAGGAGTGATTCTTCGCGACGCGCGCGATCCATCTGCGTCATCCAAATTGTTCTCTTGTAAAGGGGACTCGGCGGTCAGTGGACTGGCTATATTAATCCTTTAGGTATCATAAATTTTTTTAAGCTTTTGACACGGTGGAATTCCTGCATACATGATCTCGTTTAAAAAAGTTTTTTTTTTTTAAATTGAAATTGAAAGATTGCGCTGCAATTAATATTGTAATAAAATATTCAAAATAAAACTTTGCGTATATTTTATATCAGTGTATTTTATATTATAATATTATAATTTTATTAGTATATTTTATTATAATATTAATTGTAGCAACATACTATGAGATTTGGAAAATCCTACACTATCTCTATTGCATAAATTTATATAAATCTTTGTAATATAAAAAGAGAATTAATTGTGGATTATCATCAAATTAAATATTATTAATTAATTTATATTATATTTTTCATTGGCTACTGGACAATAAAAATCACTTTTTACCGTTAAGATTTTTCCTTCAAATTAGTTATCTTAAATTTATGAATGGTGAAAATTCGTTATTCTTTAGAATAGAAGAAGGTCAATAATACTTGGTATCTTTGTTGGAAGATGTTAAAAATAACACGTGGCACTTTGCATTGTTGTTTCACGAACATTGAACTTTTCATTTATCTAATCTTCTCGGCTCATTACGCGCAGCAGGCGCAATCGATTTGTCCGGCATTATGGTTTATAAAAAGGTCAGCTCGCTGACGTAAGTTGTATCGGAGCTAAATAACGGCTTAGACGGCTGGGCGACGAGCCAACTCGGACGCCAACAGGAACGTACAACGACTGCGAACGCAATTAAGAGATCGCGTATCGATAAAGACTACGAGGGCCAATTAATATTAATATTCCGCCAATCAGCCGAAGCTCGCTCATCGACGTTATAACGGTGTTACGTTCCTTCCATCGTTCAACTTCTCATCCGACCACCCAGGCCTCACCGAAACGATCGATCTTACGCGAATGCACATTCCGATTTAGACAAACAGATAAGTTTTTTTTGGAGATCAGACTGAAAGCGTACGGAACACGTTCGACGCACATTCGACGATCGAACAGGAGAAACCTCGGTGAAATCTCGGAAATTTTTTAAGGCACTTACGTCTCTCTTGTGTGATAATACTCGGCGAGGATGCTGATATTTCTTCCCTTTGAAGTCGACGTACGTCAACATACGTTAATACGACGCGTGACTCGTCTCTTTGATCTTTGACCGAGTAAATAATTAAATGCATCGAGGATGCACGAAATTGTATACGTGCTCCACGAGGAGCCTCTTTTATGCAAAAGCAGTCTCTCCTTCCAACCGCGAAATTAATCGATTTAATTCTGTTTTCGATGAATGGATTAAATACATTGGCGCTTTAATGTCGCTTGTGCCCCCCGTGAATCACGTGCTATTTCGTAAGAGTTCCAGATCTACGGAAGATTCCGCCAAAGATCCGAGATGACGGAGATTACGCGAGAAATATAAGTTACGACAAAGCGGCAAACTTGTAAACGATAAATTGCGGGATCTTGATAAAGTTCTCCTCTCCCTAGGAGCGAGGATACGCATTCGCACGCACCCGCGTTTCCTCGCTCCTAGGGAGAGGAGAACTTTATCAAGATCCCGCAATTTATCGTTTACAAGTTTGCCGCTTTGTCGTAACTTATATTTCTCGCGTAATCTCCGTCATCTCGGATCTTGATCTTCGGCGGAATCTCCCGTAGATCTGGGATTAACTCTTACGAAATAGCACGTGCTTCACGGGGGCATAAGCGGCATTAAAGCGCCAATGTATTTAATCCGATCATTGGAAACAGAATTAAATCGATTAAATAAGGCGTGGCGCTATAGACTTTCGTGCGATCTTCATTAATGATGCATGAAGTTTTAATTATCATTCAAAAAAAAAAAGGCCAGAGAATGCACAGAATATTACGCGTTCTTAAGTGGTTATTATAAAATCTAAATAAATAATAAGGTTCTGAGGTGCAATAATTATACACTTTTTTATCTCATGTTTTATATTATAATTATTAATAAAAATTATGTTTTTTCACTTCACTTTTGTACTTAATAGTATATACATTTGAGAAATGCATACCTATTAAATTTTTTTCATTTTATTAATGGTTGGATTCTGTCCACCATTGTTCCAATGTACGACGCTCCATTACATTGATTTTTATATAGTATTATATTATTTTAATTATATATTTAATTTTAATTATATTATTTTATATTTAATTATATTATATTTAATTATATTATTTTATTCTTTCATTTAGAGAATTTTTTTATATAGAGAAAGAAAGAAGGTATTATACCTTTTTGAAAAAACATTTTATGCAGTATAAAATTTTATTATCGTTTATTATCACACTTTCGAGAAGATCCTTCAATCTTTTGATGCACTAAAGATTTAATATAGCAATTTCGCTTTGATCGCACGTTGTCGCCGGACGAAGCTTTGTATCGCGGTAATTTAATAAAGAATTGCGTCCTTGCCTGCACACGTGGTGCGTGATTGCAGTGATGAAAGAGAGAGAGAGAGAGAGAGTTCGCATAACGTAATTATCCGTATTAACATAGCAAGCCCGGTGGTCCACATTTGCAGTAGCGGTACGTTGGGGATCACTTGAAGGTGGTAGTGGTGGCAGTACTCAAGGTGGTACAAGGTAAGCACGGCACGACACGATCGCTCCATCCTCACAACGATGTAATTTCGTCTCCCGGAGCTGTATTATTCCCGTCAGCGCGCGGAAGACGGAAAATTGATAAAGCGGAGTGAGAACGCTACCTGCTGAAGGATCGCTACAAGTCGCTCTCGGAGAGATCGGGCGACGATGTGTTCGCGATAAATGATGAGCATCGAGTAATTGATATTTCGCATCGTTCATTCCGCGACGCCAAGTGATATCCGATCGGGCAGGAGTGTTGCTTTATTTAACGCAACGGATGAGTAATGACGCAAAATTGTAACGTTTCGAGTAGCATGAATTGCATTCCTCTGGTCTAACTCGAAAATTAATTGTTTCGAATATATATATTGAAAGGAAATTGAAGGAAAGTGTGTTTCAAGAACATTAAATTTTTCAGACAAAGAGAGCGTCAATTTTTTCATTAATTAATAGCTATCAAAAATTGGCGCTATCTTTTAATTCGTTTAATTCGTTCCGTGAGACTATCAAGGAAGCTGTAGGAAGTTGTTACGAGATCCATTACATTCCATATTACTCATTTACCTGAAAGAATGCATCGTAAAGTCGCGCTTTCGTAAAGATAGATGCGCAGGGCGTGGTTAGCGTAAGCGAAAACAGCGTGAGTAGAGAATTAAAGGCGAGAAATGGCAGGAAAGGGACGGAGAAAACAAGGGGAGAGAGCTGTAGAGGAAAGAGGAAGGATCCTCCCGGATCGTTAACCAAAGGAGGAACGCTCGGCATGTTCTTCGCGGCCTTTCCTTCTCTCAGCATCCTCCGTATTTTCGCATTGCCCTTTGCCTCTCTTCTCTGGCATGAAGATCGAAGGCTGCTTTACGAGGCAGTCTTGTAAGTCGATCGTTACGCCTCGATAGTACACGTAGTCGAGTGCATGTGTGAGGCGTGTATGGAATATTACGGCGTGACATCGCGGGACATAAAGTTGCTTCTTCCCTATCCGACTCGTTGGCGATGTCAAGAAAAAAAGAAAAGAATTTCAAGAAGAATCGAAGTAAATCGTGCTCTACGAGCCGCCAGTCGTCATCGTGCAGGGTGGTCCGCGTTTCGAGGATTCTTTTGCATGTGCTTGACAATGCCGAGAGAATTTCTTGAGGAATGTACATGATCCTATTGCAATCAGGATAATAAGGAATAATTTATTCATTCGTTTATTAGCAACTTTATTTTCTGACAATTATTAAATTTTATATCTTAATTTATGATACGCGCAAAAATTCAATCATTGAATTTGATATATTTAAATTATATTATATTTTAAAATAATATATTTTAATATTAAAGTAAAAAAGACTAAATAAAGTTTTTAATAATGTGTATCTATATTAATAATATATAAATAAATGATACTTTTACAGAAAACATAATAAATAATTATGCTTTATGTTATAAAAATGTATAGTGCCGGCTTGGCATATTATGACTTATGACTTAATACATTCGAGCTTAACTGATGCACGGAGATTCTTCTGGCGGCACCCATATCTAGGCCGTGTTGGCCTAGGCTGAATTACGAGTTGCTACCGGTAAACACACGAAAAAGAAAGCCGCTTTCGACACGCTCGATTCCATAATTATGACACCTTGTACCGACTTTTCGCACCTGTTCGTGTACCGGTTCTCACCTCCCAAGTTGAGGATTGAAAACCCGTATATATCTATTGTAATTATTTAATAATTTTCCCTTCATCACATTTTGCATAACGATTTTTTGAAATATGCGTTCTGTTTAACAAGAAAGAATGGAATATTAATGATTTTAATATTGAAACTTGGATAGTCGAAGGGAAAATCTTTAAAATTAAAATATTTCTCAAGGAAAAAATATTCATCGATCTTGGTTTCATCAAACAATAATAACGTCTTTGGCTTCACCTAAGTAACTTGTATCTCATTATATTGTTGCAGATTTAGCGGACACCAATATGTTCCGACAAGAAGGAGTCACGACTTATTCTCAGCTGCTTTTCGATGTGGCACGGCAGCAAGTCGTTGTTGGTGCACGGTATGTATTTTCACGTCGCATATTTTTCTTCCATTACCGAGCTAATCCTCTTATGATACTCGAAGCTGCGCGTGTATTAACATTGTTTAATTTGAAAATATTTACAAAGCTGTTTTCCTGAGCTGTTTTCCGATACCTGAACATAAACGTATCGCTAGATACGAGTTTCTCCAACGCAATCACATTACAACGAATTTAGATGAGTTAAAAATTTCCAAATTTGAATCTCGATATAACAATAATAAATTAACCAACATGCTCCTCGAAAAGTCAGCCTCTTGCAATAAAATCGAAACTGTTATGAAACTACGGATATTAGAAAAACCAAAGTCGCAGATTCAATAGTGGAGTCCAACCAGTCTTCTCGATAATAACGAGTTTTAGAAAGTGTTTCGCAGAGATCAGAATTTAATCAGAAGATATTCTCGGACGACCTACTGCCTTCGATAAATATCACCTCTTCTCGATTACCTCGAAAAAAAAAATTCGATCGCGTATGATTGTCACATTTTGATACGATAATCATGATTTTAGACAAATCAGAAACTAATGATCACATCGATTTTTCTTTCCTAATATTTTATAATTATTATTATATTTTTTATTATTATTTTTATTATTATTTTTATCTTTTATTATTATATTTATAATTATTATTTTATAATTATTTTATAATTATTAATTATAATTATAATCACATTATATAATTGTAATCCTAAGGTTTGTTTCACTTACATTTAAGATTAGTTTCATCAACATTGATTAATTTTCACGAAAATTGGATTATTTTGCAACATGAGGAATCGAAATAACAAAGTATAAAATACATATTTAACATCTATATCCTTCTTTAGGGAAAGTTCGACTCGAATCGATGCAAGAGCTTCCATTCGACTGCTCTTTATACGCAAACTTGGAGTAAACCGTCAGGGAGCGATGTGGCGAACGGAAATAAAATAGAAGACGAAAAAGAGAAAGAAAAGGCGAGCCATTTCGCGCGTTGGTTTAGGACCGCCCTGTTATAAAACGTCGACGCGCTCTTTGACGCGTGACGACGCCATAGATGCAACACGACCCATTGAAGGTAGAAACGCGCTGACTCCCTCGTCTGGCGATTTTCAGCGAGATGTCCTGGCAGTTCGCCAAATTGCCTAACATACGACGCGGTCTCCCGAAGGCCCCGATCCATTTTCGAGCCAGACGAGATTCGCGTCTGGTCGATTTAATTCCCTCGTCGCTTCACAACATGACTCGCGATGAGAGGAAAACGAGAGAGGAAAAAAATAACGTCGCGTCTCTCGTCGATGTTGGATAAATCGAAAAAGTCGAAAGATCGCCAATTCACGATGCGACGAACGTAATTGAGTCCTATCGCAACAATCTTACGTTACATGACATCTAATTTTGCCTAAAGACTAATTTCGCGAATTTTTTACTCGATTGATTTTAAAGATTCGCAAGACATTGAAATTGTAATCGACATAATGTGCCTCTTGAAATCTTAATTGACGGATTACAGCTTATATATTATAATTACCGCGGGATATTGCGATTTCGAGAGAGATACCGTGATTATTCTACTTTTTGCGATACGGCGCGAGCTTATTACGTCTAATTAAATCGCACCGCGTGGGATCGAGTTGCAGATGACGGGGGAAACTACGACGGCGAAATTACTTTGGAAAATCATTGCCGGCACGATTCGTGCCCGCGCTTAAGTAAACGCGTTTCTCCCGCGATTCATTTACTCGCGGCGGGATCGAATGACGCGAGACGTGCCCGCCGGTCGCTCTCGTTACATCGCGTTAGCAGGGATCGTTTCTCCACGAAACTATCGGTTCGGGAACCGCTTATATGTTATACAAATTATACGGGCTCTCTTATACGGTGGCGAGACTGATGGCGCGCTTCCACGGCTGGCGGGACCTTTTTTGCGATACTTTCTCTAGCCGATAAACACCGCTTCATTATAAGCAGGAAATGACGCTCGATATATGTATATTTGACGAGAAGAAAGAGAGAGAAAAAGCACAGAAAAAGAGAGCAAGAGGAAACGAGCGTGTTGAGTGACCTGCGTATCAAGTGGGCGATACCTGTCCCACGAAATAAATAAATATCTTAATGCGTCTGTCATTAATAATAATCGTACATATGGCATTTTATCGCGTCTCGAATGGCTCGAGATTGGGACCGGCAATCGGCGAAAACGATCGAGAATCATTTCACGTAGGAGACACTGAGTAGCAGGCGAAGATCTGGGAGCTACTACCGGTTATTTCGATCGATGAACCTTGGCTAAGGGGAGACGTTTCTTCGAGGCTGCTCTCGTACTTTGTCCCGCGCCCGCGAGCTTCGAGAGGATACTTGAATTATATACTAAACTAGTTTCGCGGGACTGGTAGGTCTTATCTATATCTTGCGATTGACAGCAAGTTAAGTGATTAATTTAACTTAAGTGGTTAATATATAAGTATTCTTCAAACAACAAACAAGAAACACGGGAGCGAGAGAAGCTCAAAATATTCCTTCAAATTATATTTAATTGAGCGAGTTGACTTTCTTTTCTCGATTCCTCATTTATTTGCAAGCAGACGACATGTGCAAGATGTGAAGCGATTTAATTTGATTACAGACGAACAGAAAATTATATTCCAGCTTGATCTTTTTAAACTCATAATTTTTATTACTATAAACATTGAATTAAAAGAAGAGATATTATTTTCGGTCGAATTTTGATTTGATATTTAAATGTCGAAATATTTAACATCGAATTTCTAATTCGTCGCGGAACATAAATTTCACGGCAATAAATATGATCGGCAATCTTCCATTATCAGATTGCAGGATGACATTCGAGTCGAGCTGATTAATGGATTTAAAATTAGCACTGTTAATGTAGTTGTGAGCGCATATGCCCGACCAGTCAGTGCAAAGTCTCGCGCAAAAAATGCAGTCCACCCACGCGAAGTAAGTGCGATCGTGCATACACGCACGATACGAGTGTCGTGAGATCGAAGCCGGCCCCCGATCGATCGATCGATCGATCGATGGAAAAGGGAGTACGCCCCCGTGCGCTTTCTATTAATAGAATGTTAGTTATTAGCCGCTACCCACGCGTGGCCACGTCCGTGCAATTTCTGCAAAATACCGATCGCAAAAAAATACGGAAAATGCCCGCAAGTGCGTGCATTACAGGTCTTGCGATCTTAATTTTAATAAATTGATTTTTTGCCATTTTCGAATACAAATGTGTGAAAGACTTAAATAATTAATATTTCTTTTCTGGAATTTTTTTAGATATATATCTTACAAGCTTGCAAAAAATATGAAAAGCTTGGCTAATTTATTTTTTATTTTTGCTGGAATAATAGCGAATAAATAATGATGTAGCAGCGTATTCGTATTTCAATCAAACTTTTCAAAGAACGTGTACGTATATTTTTTCAATATTCACATTTCCATATTTGCTTCCTTTATTCGACTTCTGAACTTTTACACAGATATATATTCTGAAAAACGACGAACGCGAGATGATATATACGATGGTAAATATCATCGTGTGTCTCGTGGACGGAAAGTATTTCATCGGGAAATTTCTCGCAGCGAGATTATTTCTGCCACGCTGAGTTTCTCGTTTTGTTTGCAAACGGGAAACGGGATGTACTCGGAGATGTGGATAAAAGTTTTCGGGTTTATGCGGCGCGAGATTACTCGTGACAGCCGGTCGCAGGTGTCGGGAATTTCATAGACGGCCGCTAACGTGGTCGTATCGTATTTATGATGTTGCTCGAAGGTGCGAGGTGTGCGTGATACCATTCTCGTCTCCCCATATTACCAGTTTTATCTGTCGTTTTCGTATCGATACTCGGCCGCGAAGGAACATTTTCTCGTACATTTTTCTTCCGCGATCTAGCGAATTTCTTTCTCTTTATTTTACTATAATCCGCAGAGATACGCCTATCTGTCTTCACCGTTATATATTTAATTAAATTTTCTAAACGCGCACATTTTCAATACAGGATCTTTCAGCTTTCACAAGCTCTTCTATCAATATTTTTGCAATTTAAAATAGATACGAGAATCCTCTTACTTATTATCTTATATATACGTGCGAATTTTTAGCTTTTAATTAAACTTGATATTTTCCACGGATCTCTTAAAATTAAAGAAATCTTATTACATTTTACAAGGGAACGAAAATTCTTGGCGAGCGAAAATTATTATTATTTTAATGAAACGCTTATCTCTACCGACACGACTAATTTATTTCCGTCTAGATTTCTTTTCAGCACGTGTGACGAAACGATTTCACCGCGATATCTCGCGCGGATAAACATATATATGCACGTCGCCGGTTCGAAAAGTCGGGAGATTTTCGCGCGCGTATCTCGCAGCCTCCCCGCGCTCGCGCGCGCTCCCGTGACAAATCGTTACCGGGAGATTTATCTTGTAGCAAATAAGCGGCCTTATTTATAGGACGATGTCAATCGACGTGTCCGCCGTTACAGGTTGTCGCGTGAGATCTCACCGGCCTACCGTTACGCCTACGAAACCTGATTTTGGCGTCGCGTTTTTGCACGCCGCATATCTGCACTCCTCCTTTTATTATTCCACTCGAAGCATTACTGCTTACTTACTAAGGAGATGCTGTGGCAGGGTAACGGGCCACGTATCCTTCAACGTGGCGCGAGGTTGTCAGCGGCCGCGAGTGAATATTGGGCGCATTTTGAAACAGCTGACAGTATCCACCGGGTATCCACCATAGAGTACGTTACATTATACCTCAATAAAATCATTTGATATCTCGCGTGGAATTACGTAAAACGCATATATAACGCTGGAGAATTGCATTGGGGAAAGATCGTATTCTCTCAATTTTTCGTCACATTTATCTGTTTCACCTGACCCTTATCTCCTTTTAATATCTTGTTCTAAATTCACCTCTTTAAAGCAAGTTGCCAAATTTAGAGCGAAGTAAAAGTCGCGGTTCGAATTGCAGA